TTTCTGTTTAGTGACCTGAATGGTCCCAGCATTAGAGATGTGTCAGAGCTGGTGCAAGAGGAGCAGAGAGAAGGAGAATCACAAGCAAAGAGGTAAGGCAGTGTTATAGCTACTGAGTCAACTCAAACATAATGTATAATTTAATCTTGACTTATGTTTTGACAGAATATGCTTCTTACTCACACTCCCCTGACTATACATAGACACAAGAGCAACAAGGATCCGCTTTTGGGGGTACAAGGTGAGTGCTGAAGTTACAGTGGGAAGAATCAAGACCACAAGTCTTTTTTTTTTTTTTTTTTTTTGGCTTTTTCCCTGGTGGAGAGGACAGGGATGGGGTGGAAGGGGACTCTCCCTCAGCAGTATTTATAGATGATATTTTCCTCTTCTCTGATTTTTTATTCCCCAAACAAAAAAGTTTTTTTTTTTTTTTTTTTGTATGGTTTGGTTATCCGCAGTTAAAGACAGAGGGTCAAAAGTGTAAAGTTCAGCTGATTAAAAAGAGAACACGGACTACAAATAATAATGCAAAAATAATCTGGATTTGAAATCTCCTTTTTAAAAAAAAATGAACACTGTTTACTGAAAGTTATTAACGGGAGACCCCATTGTTCCTCCAAACAATGTTTTATGCTCTTCTGATGGATCTGGAAAAACAATTAAAAATCCTACTGGTTATCTAGACAAAACATATAAAATTTCTTAGTCTGAAATCAGCTGAAAAATTTGGCTGTACTAATTGTAACTAACTGCTATCACACATTGAGGGGTTTACAAATGGCATCACAATACTATGTACCCCAGTTCCTTCTGATAGCTCAAGGAGGGCAGCAGCGCTGTGAAGGCTTTATTATAAATCCCTGGAAGTGTTCAAGACCAGGCTGGATGGGGCTTTGAGCAACCTGCTCTAGTGGGAGGTGTCCCTGCCCATGGCAGGGGGGGTGGAACTCGATGATCTTTGAGGTCCCTTCCAACCCAAACCATTCTATGATTCTATGATAAATCTCTAAAAACCTAATCTCAGCATCCTGCTGGATACTGATGATTCACGATAATACCGTTGAACTCCATGTCAAATAAGTCTGCATTTATCCATATGAAGAAGATAAGAAATTTTACCGTACCAGTCGATTCTGAATGATCTAAATGATAAGACAGATTAAAAGGTTTTCCACATTCATTCACTAATTAATTCAGAAAAAAAAAAATGTAACAGAAGGTCAAGAAACAATTAAGAATTTGGGCCAAGAATATAGCCTAAAAAAGAAAAAAAGCTTCTATTTTTTTCCTGTATGGGTGCACCCAACCTTTTTAGAATATGTATAGTCAAATGACCAATTTTCACTTTGATTATTATATTTTGCTGTGGGAAATGATCATCAAATTAGGTTAGTCTACATAATTTGACATAATGAACTGTTTTACTACATGATTATCTAGTATCATATTTTCCCCTGTAATAAAAGAGCTCATGTAAGAGCCCTATATGAATTCTTCCAAGATTAAAAATGTAATATTTAACCTTTTTCTTCCAAAATTAAAATACATGAGTATTTTAGAGAGTAAGATTAAGCATGAATGTATTGTTTTAATCTTAAAAGTGTATAAAATGCTGTAATTATCTCCAAAGCAAGCATTATGAATCCAGCTGATATCACAAGCAGATAAAAATAAAAAAAAACAACCCCTCAAACTCTAACATTTCATTAAAAAGAGTTAATACAGTCTGAGACCACACAGGCTGGAATACCTTAAGTTAAAATTGTGTACTTACTGAAACACATTGCTGTAAGACAGCATTAACATTTTTTGGAATTTTGCTTGTACTTTTAACATACCTAAACTTCCATTTATGTTGACTACGAATATCTTGGATTTATCTGTTCAAGAATTCTAATATTTTTACTTGCAAACATAAGGGCAAGAAGGTAATTCCTAACAAGACATGACAGTTTAGCATGTATAATGACTAAACAAGATTGATATTAATCATATTACCTGACAGCATGTACAGAACGTATAAAACCATAATTCATATTTTTTCAAATTGCATGTATCTGTATTTACAGATTGCATATTACTTTTAAAAACACATACCTTGTCTAAATGAAATCAAGTCTTTATTAGCCCAAGATGAGAAAATTTGAATTATCTTTTTCTATTAGCAGGGATATTTACTGTGAAATTGTGATGTTCTGCGTATTTAATTTTTTTATTGAGATGGCAAAAAAAAAATTTAGTTGAAGACTAATTCACTGTAGGCTAAGTTGCCCAATGCTGTAGAAAGTTTTTAGCACATGAGATAATGGAGGCTACATTAGGAATCAACAGAAATGACAATAGATAAACATACATACACATTGTTATTTTCACACATTTTCCTAAAAGAATTTAATCTTATTTTTGTATTTCATAGGGCATTTTTGTGCCTCATAGTGCCATTTAATAATTTTCCCGCTCGGATCTGCTTGCATTGGGTGTCTATTTTTGTCAGTTAGGTTGACAGTTGGACAAGATGATCTTTAAGGTCCCTTCCAACCTAGAAGATTCTGTGATTCTGTGATTGCTGGCCACAGTCCGAAAATTTTAAGTGGTGAATGACACAAAAAAGCAAACTGCTGCATATCAGTAGTAGTTTATGTGGGTAGTCATAAGGGCTAAAGTTGTTTGGATATAAACAATGTCGCATAGCTCCGAGATAGAAACGTTACAGTTTTCTTACAAAAAGTTGTTAAATTTTATCTCAATTTATTACTTTCTACTGATTTTAACCAGCTGCAATGCACGTTGGTTGATACGACACTACCAAAACCAGGCACCTAAGGTGTAACTACTTGAGAGCACAACTACTTGGGAGCAGCACTACTTGGGAGAGGAGTAGGAACAGGCAATTTTGAAAGAAATGAATTTGAAATTAGCCTAACAAGAGCCTATCATATTGGAAATTCAGAAAATTCACTACCTGTTTATACAATTTAGTCATGTTTCCTCAGACTATTTTTCATATTATTAATATAATGATTTGATAATGCATTAATATAATAAGGCTTATAAATTACCTAGAAATGCTTTAAGTGTTTTCCATTACATTAGTAGAGACCTGTGGGTTTCATATAAACAAAAACAGTAATGAAAAAAAAAAGAAAAAAGCAACCCCAAATATAACCCAAACTGAACACTTGCCTTAGTCTCAGTCTTGAATTTGAAATTTAAATATACAATGTGGATACAGACATCACAAATAGGAGCTACCAAATTATTACTTGTGATGCATCTACTGATGATCCTGCCAGGTCAATGACACCTGCAGGTTACTGTAGGGAGGCATGTTCAATTACTCTCTTCTGTAATTAGACTATTTTAATCTCTATGCACAGAGCTTCACAAGCACTACAATCAATTCAGAGAATTAAATGAAAAAACTATTCTAGGAGGAAACTGCCTCAGACAAACACGCAGTGCAATGCAGCACAGAAAGTAAACAACTTAAGAACTTGTTTTCTTTCTTGTTTCATTTAAGGTGATTGTGTCATATTTGACGTCTACACTCAGGAACAGAATTAGCACAGTTTCCACTGAAGTTGAAGCTCACTAAGACTCAGCTGTCAGTGAAATTGTTTTGCTTTGGTTCTTACAAAAAATGGTTTTGTAATGGGTCAGCAGAGACAAACTGGTTTGGACCAATTCACGACGTGGGGTTTGGTTTACTAATCCAACAAGGGAATTTGGGAGAGTAGCAAGGAATGGAGATGAAGGAGAACAGTTTTCAAGGTGGAGTGAGAGGACTTCAAGAGGTGAATAGATAGTTGGTTTTCTATGGATATAATGGTGTTAGAATGAGTGATGATGCAATCTCAGGATTAATTTAGGGGAGTTGCAGATTTGTTGAGAGGAATCTGCCCATCTCCTCTCTTCCCAGTCAGAGAATTGAAAGATTATTCTCAGAGAACTATTCATATAACCAGTCTATGATGATCTTTCTGAACAGGTAACTGGCTATTTAGGTCCCATCACTGTGTATATAACTTGCATTGCTTTTCCTCACATTAGTAATTTTTGATTCACTAATGTATTTTCTCTGCAAATCCTTGCCAAATCATTCAGCAGCTCTGGGAGATCATTTAACAGCTGCTCATGGTCAGCCTTGGGTTTAATATCTTCAGTATTCTGTTGCCTCAGCAAACTATCCATATTACTATTTGGCCTTTTTCACATCATTTGTGTACAGGACTCCATTTATTTCCATCCTTTGTTTCAGACATTTAACCTGAGGAAAAACTTTCACGTATAGTCCATGACATGTTAGTCTCTTAAGATTGCTTAGAGAGAAATCTTGACAAAAGCCTTTTAGAAATCCCCACACAGTGCATTTGTGTCTAAACAGCAAGAATTTGCATACTTTTAGATCTGAGAACATACTCCAGAAGCATCCCGAATCCTTGCTGGGAGGAAAGGCAGATGAGTGTATAGAGAAGTACCCTGACTCTTGTCTGGGTGAATACCTCCTGTTTCCTCTTCCCAAATCCTATTTTGGAGTTGAAAAGAAACTCGTGGACTGGAAATGAATTGTGCAATGTTTTGTCCTGATTTTTGGACTCAGTGAATGGGGAGCAGGGAGAGATCTGGGTACATGACCTGTGGTACATGCAGGCAATGCAGATTGCATCTGGATCAACTTTTATCACCTTTATCTAAATGCTTGTTAAATGCTTGAAAATGCTAAACAGTTTGCTGGGCACATCTGTTGTACGCATAAGAAAAGAAAGAACAGTGAGACTAAGTCAACAGAGAGAATTTAGCAACTGAGAGTAAAACTGAGAGCCTCCTGGGTGCCCGACAGACACTGTCACCTGTCTTTCTGAAAACTACACAGATGAAAAAACCTAACAAATCAAACCAAAGTAAACCATTCCCCCCCCCCCCCCCCCAAAAAAAAAAAAAAAAAAAAAAAAACCCAAAAAACCACACTTATGGTAGTAATGCTAAAACAGGAAGATTACCTCACGGTGATTTAGAAGTCTCTCCAAATCTGCTGCCATTTGATTCTTGACACGCAGCAAAGCTGTCTTTTCTTTATTTAAAAGACTGGTAGAAAGAGGATAGGAAATGCAGTAATAGCAACAGATAATCTCTTTTAATCTTGTATTCTGGCTGAAACATGCATTTTCTAAAGCTAAATACTGGCAACAATGAAAATCTGCTCAAGTAATTGTATCAAATGATTCTTCTCTATGTTCAAGCATTGGAATTTTTATAAATGGGCCTAAATGCAAAGATACATGCAAAATCTTATTTTAGTCAAACAAGTACTATTCATAATCACCACAAAATATGGGGTTTTTATTCTCTGAAGGGCACTTTAAATTATCAGAATCTTCTATTATTATCTCTTGGTTCCTTCAGGCAAAATGAGCTCATTTTATAAGCAAAGTAAGGCTCCTATATCTACAATTCTATATCAAAACGTGGATTTTTTTTGTTGTATGCATCAGCAGTAGCAGCACGCGCTGTTCTCTCAGCATCACCTCTTTTGATAGTACTGTATTTAAAATTCAACAAATTCTACTGTATTTAGAAAATAAAAAAATACAAGGAAGAAAAACATCCAGCTCTCCTTTTTAGCCATGTAATTTCTACAGAAATTCCAAGTGTATTTTTGCCATTTTTATTTCATATTTCAGGAGAACGCATGGGATCATTTGGTTCACATTTGTCTTGTGAACCAAGTAAGAAAACTTTTTTTGGCATGAAGGCTTGCTGTTTAATTTTAATTGTTCTTTGTTTTCTTAGTTATAGAATATGAACATTTGAAATGTTTAGCATACACATTCTGATTCTAGATAGCAATTCTAATATAATTAAATGTATTTTCATACTTAGTCCCAACATCAGTTTCCAACAATAATCTTCAGACTGATGCCAGTATATAATATAGTTTGTTAAAATAGCCACAGAGATTATCTTGGAAGACCAATGTTATCTATGCCACTATCATAACTTAACTGAATAGGTTGTACAATATAAACTATACCATAAATCAAGAACCAAGCAAAATGCAATTCTGCATATGGGGTGCAAATACGTAGTACTAAACATGGGTCAGAAGTTCAAAAGCAAATACATTTAAATTTTATAAATGGAATGGAGCAATTACATAAGCTGCAAACACAAATTATTTAATATTCCCCAGTATTTAATCCAGAAATGACCAACAAAATAAATCAACCTTTTCTTTAATTGGCCGTGTATCATCCGCTTGTTTCAAATAAGCAACATCATCCTTTGCCCCAGAGATTTTCTGGCAGTTCCTTGCAAGCTCTGTTCTGTAAATTATGGCTGTCAATTCCTTCTAGGCATTCATTAATTCTCAGAAAAATTGTATGGTTTGGCCAAATTGCTTAGTTGTTGGAATTACTTAAAAGGAAAGTAGGAAATTTATGAAAAACTACGAAGATATTTGAATATTTTCAAGAGTTTTTTCCTGTGACATTTTTAATCACGATGGGATTGCTGTACTATTTTTTCCTCCTGGTTTCATGTGTTGTAATTTACTGATATGTCAGGCTTTCTTGGATTTCTATACTTCCTAACAGCATAAACCAACCCTTTTAGAGAATGACACAAAAACTTTTTAGAGAAGCAGTAACAAAAGTTCCTTTATGCCTTAAATAGTGCACTGAATAAGCATAAACATCAGTGTTTGTGACTAAACCAGAAGTTCATGTTTAAGGTTCAGTTTCATCTACAGAACAGAACCTATTCTAGTTATACTAGTTGCACCTTCTGAAACAATATGACATGACTGATCCCTGTGGAATAGTTCTAATTTTCTTCATTTGTGGTCAAATATAGGAATTAGACTGCTGTGCCATTCAGTAGCACTTGTGTTTTCTGTCATGCATTTGAATACACAATTACCAAAGCACATGCAAACTTCAGATTTAGCAGTTTTGCAATAGCTATGCTTTTTCATCACTGCAGACAGAAGGAAATAATTCATATACTTCTGAAACAACACTGCAAAAGCAGCATATATGCTTCTTTTAACAGAGCGAGAAAGCAGCATTACCAGACACAATATTAATAAATTCACACCTGTAATGACCAAGGAAAGCAGAAATACCTTCGAAATTTCAATTTTGGGAGGGATTTCAGCCCTTGTTATGGAAACATTCTGAACGGGCATCTTGGATAACAGCAGTTAAGGAGGTTCTAGATTTGAACTACACCGTACTTCCATCAAACAGTAAACTAATCCAGCTTTAACTGGCAGCATAGCAAATTAGACAGCAGCTTTACAGTTCACTTCAGCTGACCTAAGTGAAAATTGTTTCTGAAAGACCATCATTCCCTAACCACATACTGGTAGGTAGCTCCCTCTTTATGTCGGTACTAGAAAATTTGTGACCATATGTGTATGCGTAGGTCACTTCACTGATCTGGACGGAAATTGCAGTCTTTTTAAAGGTTATTTTTCACATGGACCACCAAAGCAACTTGATTTGCCATGCACAATGTAAGTCCAGAGCTGAAGGTAAGGATGAGACTGCTTCATTTGGTGATGGTGTGCCTTAACTGTCTTACTACGGTTCTGAAACCACAGTCTATGAGACTAGGCAAACCAGCTTCTCACACCTGAGCTCAAGGGCTGTAACTTTCATCTGAAGTGACAGGATCTTCTTGACCATCTTTAACTAACCATCCTTAACTTTTAAGTTTTCGTTATACAGACAAGTATTAAAGTACTAGAGTACTAAACATTAAAAAAAATCTTCCAATGACTTGTTCTGGGGTGAAATCATGCGAACACTTAGGAGAAATGGACTGTGTTGGAACTAATATCTAATATCCCTGGAGTTACTTAACAGGACAAATGGCTGTTTTTACACCACAGGGCAAGTGTAGACCATGCTGTGCTCCATAGTCCTGGTCACAAACTGCTCCGTCCTGAGCGTGGAGAAGGTGCCCTTTGTGATACATCACATAACCGTGGTCCCAAAAGTTCAGGTTGGAGAATTAACTAAAAAGCAGTGCAGCTCCTGCTCTTTCTGTGTGCCTGGCTTTCCAGAAGAAACCAAAATGTCTGGGAGGAGATTCAGTTTCATTCCATCATTCTTTCAAAACCTAGCCAGGTATGAATCCAGGTACCTGGAATGCAGGACTCACCACGGAATACACTTGTCATATGCATACACATTGCTCATAGCAACCACTGACTTGTTTTGTTTCGCTTTACCCGGGTTCTAAGGTATCGTGGATATCATCTGCAAGACATTTTTAGGTGACCTGATTTTTCTGGAGAAGGGAGACTAACATTTCCCAGACTCAGACTTCTAAAGCCTTTTGAATTTGGGCAATTCAACCATCTTTAAAATCCCTGGACTAAATATACTAGCTACTATCCTGTTCAGAAGCTTCTGTTATTAGATGTTCTGGATAATACGCTTATGCTGGATACTTAACAAACATGGTTTTACATATTACTGGTTTTTATTATTACTTCTATTCCATTTGAAAAAACCATAGGTTTATTTTTCAGTGAACTGTCAACCCAAAATGCTATAAGAAATAAGGACTGTGCTTTTCTGTTACTTTCACATTACAGCACAATGAAGTTGAAAACTGAAGTCTGATCTCATTTTTTTTGCATTTTGTGTTCATATACAAATGTTACCATCAAAAAAAAAATCAAACACAGAAATAGCATATGTGAAGATTTTGTACATAAAACTGAATATATAGTACAGGCTTATAGTGCAGCTATCCCTTCTCTGAAAATTACAAATGAATAGCTTGGAGCACAGAGAATACATGAAAAATTTCTGATCTCTCATTGTGCAGCTAAATAAACAGAGATCAGTTTTTTTAAGGCATTTAGTAAAGTATTTCTTAATTATTTTAATTGGAGTGCTTCAGGTGGCTTAAAAACTCAACCATGAAGTACCCAGATTGAAGAGAGATTACTTTTTCAAATTGTTAAAAAAAAAAAAAAAAAAGAACAACCCCAAACAAAAACAAACAAATTTTTAAAAGTTGTAATACAGGTCAGAAAATGTTCACTTGTAGAAAAAAAAAATTCTAAAAAAAAGAATTGGTTTGGAGCATTTCTCAGGTAAACTGCAGTAGTGTAGGAACAGACGATGCATACTTTACAGAATGGTAATGTTCTTATAAAAAGCTCTTTGCTCATTCTGTGATGGGGAAAAACTCAGCTAACACTGTATGTGCTGAGTTTTATAATGTTTGGATGGCAATTACAGAACCCAAAATGTTTAGGTAAGAAGCATTTCAGTACATAGCTTCTTAGTGAGCAAAATCCTTGTACCGCTTCTAGATTTGCTGCACAGTTAGGCTTTTGAGTGCTTTTGGGTAAGTGAACCACTTTTAAACCCAGCCACTGGTACTGAGAAATTTGAGTAACTGCATTTAAAATAAATACCCTCTCTTTATGAATAAAGTCCTGTTTAATGTCTTCAGTTATTTATAAACCTAGATGTTTTTAGCAGAAAATTATGTACTAAAACTACAATTACTTCACTACACACATAAGAATGAAATTCAGAGATTTGTTTTCCCACAGCATGACATAGTTACAAGGCATTTCTTTTCCAAAGGAGTGCTAAATGCCATGTTTTCATTTCTGGTTAAGGAACTGTATGGTAGAGAGATTTCTTTATAGTAGGAAGGAGTCATCCTCCTACATACCACTGTTCTTATTAACCATCGCTATTTACTTTTATTAACGAGAGTGCTATGTGGACTAACATAAATGACAGGTTACTTAACAGAATATTTTGAGATATGTGGAACACCTATAAATTTACCCTGCAGATGCCCTGTCACTCAAGACCATAAGTTTTTCATCGGAAGTGTGTCTGCAGGTGCACGGCTCAGTGCACAAGCACATGAGGCGCTCTGCTCCCAGGGTCCACAGCCAAGGGACAGCACAGACTTGGAGAATTCCAAGGGGATGGGAAGGAGAGGCCCCATCTGTGTCCAGTTCTGGGCTCCCCAGTTCAAGAAGGACAGGGAACTGCTGGAGAGGGTACAGCAGAGGGCTACAAAGATGATTAAGGGCCTAGAAC